TCTGTCTGTCTGTCTGTCTATCTGTCTATATATCTATCTGTCTGAATGTCTGTCTGTCTGTCTGTCTGTCTATCTATCTATCTATCTATATATCTATCTATCTAAGTTAAATTATTTAAGTGTAATTTAAGTGTCTTAATACTATTTGGAACCAATGTAGTTTCTTCAAATAACACCTAAGCCGATAAAGCTGTTTTTTGTGCTAATAACACTTTTGCTTCAAGTTTCTCCTAAGTTTGTCATTACTCCAAGCCATTGTCTTTTATATTTGACCCAGCAGGCATATGCTTTCAGAATTGCTTGTCAAAACTACCGTAACCTCAACGGAGTCTCACCTCATACTCCTGCTTGAAGCCGTAGCCCTCTCCTGTCTTCATCTGGTTGATGTGCTGGAGCAGGTCTGCCACTCTCACGGCCGGGTGGAGCTGCCCTGTGTGGTACGGAGAACTTTTCCTCCTGCAGTGCCTTCTGGGAGAACCACCCAGCAGGCTGCTGGACTCGTTCACCGAGCTGCGCTGCTCATCTGAGGAGCAAGAGGAAGAAGAGAGAGAAAGCTAAACACAAACAGACCGTGGCACAAAGGGAAGAAGCTACAGTGCGCTCAAAGGTAACTTGCAAATTGCAGCGGGAGCAGCTTCACTGAAGGTGTGAATCATAACGGCCGAGGGAGTTTGTCTTCCTGATACTGTGAATCGCCGTGGCTGTGCGAGTGTGAATTGAAGCAAAACTACAGGGGTAGAGATGTTAGAAAGGTGTTGTAAGAAGCGGGCAAGCTGTGCTGGTCCAACTTGATGAAGATGGCCTGTGTAGATTCATTTTTTAACTATCTGCCTTCCATGTAAAGGTGTTGCCAGATTCTTTTACTACTGTGCTCCAGAGATATACTGATGTGTCCCAGTAAAATATCACTTATAAATCCTTGTCTGGTTATGGAGATAACCGTATACTGATCAGAGAATCATTTTCCCTCATTATATTATTGGGTAACACTTTATTTGATAGTCTACTTTACACACTCTACTAACTATTTCTGCTAACCCTAACCATAACCTGACAGTCTACTAATACTCCAGTGAGAGATAACTGACGTTGCAAAGTTACTTATAGTTAGTAGAATGTCTAAAATAGACTACTGAAATAAAGTGTGATCATCTTCAGAAATCAATTTCTGTCAGTTGTTTAACTAGCAATGCATGATTTGCAAATGAATCACTATTGAACTAATTAGTCAAAAGTGTTTGCAAAAAGCTTTGAAATAGAGGTCTGCAATCCCATGGGATGCGCGGGACCTGACCCAACAGAGTGCGGCACAGGACACGTTTTTAATTGCTGAGAGTGGGTGTGGGAGGAATAGTGATGAATGTGTGGAAAGTGGGAGAAAGAAATGACTCAGGAGCTCCTGTAAAATATAAAAAATCAAGATAAAATAAAAGCTACTTAAATATATTTTATGTTTTTAAAGGTGCATAATGCTATACATGTTATTTGTGTGCTGAGCAACAAATTGTGCATGAGCTGGACAGAATCTTGGGGGAGAAGGACTAAAATATCCATCCCACATAGACCTCTAGTCAATAGTCTAAATTTGGGAAATAGAATAGAATAGAATATTTCAAACCAGTGCTACACAGCCAAGTACATGACATAAGCACAAACATCTGGAAATAGGCAGGGAGCCAGTGCTCTCACTTTACTGGCACACAACAACACTCGTCTGTTCCAGGGGACAATCAGGACACTGACTCAAGACTCGGAGAGCAGTGGGAGGATCTGTAATATGTGGAGATTGATTATTGTGATGCATAATAGATAGGTGTGTATTGTGACTGTAAACATCTCAACAACACTGTTCACTTGTCCACCTGTGTTCTAATACATGCATTATATATTGGAGAGAGAGAGAATGTGTGTGTGTGTGTGTGTGTGTGTGTGTTGATATATATATAGACAGGTGGAACTGGGGGAGGTGGAGGGTTTGATATATATATAGACAGGTGGAACTGGGGGAGGTGGAGGGTTTGAATTATCAAAAACAGGCCTTAACATTTTTATGTATTTATTTATTTTACCTATTTTTTTATCATACAGTTTTCTGTAACTGGGCCTTATTACTTATATTGAGGTATTAGACCATGGTCACTTCCCCTACCCTTCGTCTGAAAATTAAAGTTTGTATGTGTAAGGAGCAACTCTTTCCGCTGTGTGTGTTTGTGTACTCACTTCTAGCAGTGGAGTTATGTGAGTCCATGAAGGTCTGCGTGGTGCGATCGTCCTGTTGCAGTGTACTGTGCTCTGTCGTACTGCAGTCCAGTGACCCCAGCTTACGTGTCTTCTCCTGGCGATACGTCATCACCGCCTTGTTTATGTTCACCTTCTTCCTGCTGCAGAGTATGAAAGACAACAAATGAAGAGAGACTGAAAGGACTGTAAATGAGAGGAAAAGAGAAAATACATAAAAATGAGTGGAGAGGATTAATAATAGAAGAGGATCGTGGAAAATATGCAATCAGCAGAAATATGATCTACAGCTTTAAATGTAGAGAACATGTAGGTGGGACTTAGCCAGGTCAGTGGTTGTAGCATGTTCCCATGCTTTTGCTAGGGCGGTTGCTAACTGGTCAAAAGTCATGATCATCTCTATTTCTAGATGTGACAGTGGTCACATCTCCAATGTAAGTCTAGGGGAATAGTATCCATTTATTTGAAGGGAAAAATGTATAAAAGCAGTAACACACCTCTCATCAAGCCACATATCTTGATCAATAACACATGCATTACTATATAACATCACCATATTAAAAAAACAGGGCAGATATTGACAGCAAAGAGACTTATTGAAAATGTGGCTAATCTCCAATAAATCAAAGCTAAACAACAGCGGCTGATGAAAAAAGAATGGAACCTGATGAGGGAATGACTTACGGGTAGTAAGGGTAAGAATAGATGTCCCTTCTGGAGAGCATGAAGAGAGACAGAAAAAAACATGTAGGTTAGCCTTTCTTCTAGTACATTTACATCTATGCACTTGTCAAATACTTTTATCCGAAGCAACTTACACTGAATTCAAGCTTTACATGTTTTATGCTTAATATGCTTAATGAGCTGTCTTTTGTTTTTTATTTGTTAGCTAAATTTACATGTTGTGCTTTGGACTCATGTAAGCATTTCACATATAAAGGGGACACTTTTATTTATAAATGTCAGAGACAATTTGAAAATGACCATGCTAATTTAAATTATGACTGATTTTTGGTAGAAAATAGCTGACTTTAATGTAGTGGTTTTGTTCACATGCAGTATTAATATGCAACTTTTTTAATGTACTCCTTTAGCCATGCTGGAGATGATTTACCAACATTTAAGGGTGAAAAATGCTCTTTTTCACACATGAGCATTACCTGTATGTGTGAAAACACTTATTTTCATCTCTTGGAGAGTAAACCAAAGAGCTGTACTTCACATTCAACATGAGTCATTAAATTACAGCTTGGGAAAAACACATTTCCACACATTCAGCCAGTCATTACAGCAAAATAAACCTCAACATAGTGTGGAGATTACTTGTATGAAACCAAAGGCCTTTATTTTGAAGTAATGACCAGCTGAATGTACATTATAGCATTTATTATTGCGCATCTGCAGAATACAGCTATTGACCAATCACAATTAAGTATTCCAGAGAGCCACATAATAACAGTGAATAATGCAGTTCTGAGGTACTTAACGTACCTGCCCTCGCTGTTCCCAAAGCGTAACAGAAGATTCTGTTAGAATTTGTCATGTCTGAGCAATATTTCAGCTGTGAGTTGGGAGCCGGCTCTAATTTAATCAGTTAAACATTTGAAGCTGTGTTAAAGAGTTTTGCGCGCTGTTTTTTTTTACTGTTTCTGGCCTTCGCTGCTGCTGGTGTAATGTGACACTGTGAAGAACATCTAGAATTGGATTTGATTTTAATTGGATCTGAGTGCACACATGCTCACCCTTTCTTCACAATAACCACGATGGCTCCCAGCAGGAGGATGAGAACAACCAGCCCCCCGGCACAGGCCCCCAGTATCAGCCCCATGTCCTCGGCATGCTGGGAAACCTCCAGAGCTCGCTTATGGTCCTTACAGGCCTCTGAGAGGAGAAAGACAAAGAGTCAATAAATGGAAGTGAGAGAAAGACCAATGACTTCATATCATGATTTTAGCATGGCAATGGATATTACAATGTTAATAAATTTGGTCTTTGTGGAATAGATCTGCTGCAAAGCAAGTACAGGAACTTGCTACTGCCAATGCATACGGTGATACGGTGCTGTGAGCATTTAAGACATACTGTTGCTGCACAAATAGCATATATAATAACCCATAGCAGATCTATACAGGTGGAGCTGGGGAGGTGGAGGGTTTCAGAGGAACTCTGAAAGCGTGCTAAGAAATGCTCTCGTGAATGCCATTTAAATGTAAAGCAGAAAGCTCATTGGCTGTGTATGCAACATGAATGAATCAGCTTGTGCCAAGTTTAACACTGTGAATATCATCAGTTTGTGTTAAAGACCCATCAGCCTGCACCATCTAAAGTCTCATGACAAAACTCGGCATTTAGCTAAATATTAGTATTACAGTAAAACTACACAAATAAGAATTTAATTCTGCTATTTAGGGCTATGTGAAATATCAAAAACATAATTATTATTATGTTTTATTTAGACAATGTACAAGTCTGACAGTGGTCCTACGTGGTCTTTTCCATTTTAAAATGGTTTACTAAAAATATATGTAAATACATACTGTTATTTATTACTATGTATTCATATTGTCTGTGTTATTATTTTAACTACATTTTAATGTATATTTTTATACACTACCATTCAAATGTTTGTAGACAATAAGTTAGTTAGTTAGTTAGCTAGTTAGCTAGATAGTTTGCTTGTTTGTTTATTGAAATAACTTATTCAGCAAGGATGCATTAAATTGATCACAAGTGACAGTAAACAATATTATAATGTTACACAATATAAATGCTGTTCTTTTGAACATTGAATTTATTAAATGTATTGTGGTTTTCACAAAAAAATATGAACATATTAATATTGATGTTTTCAATATTAATAACAAATGTCTCTTAAGCAGCTAATCAGCATATTTGAGTGATTTCTGAAGAATCAAGTGAAACTGAAGACTGCAGTAATGATGCAAGAGATATTTTAAAGTGCCCCTATTATGCCATTTCCAATACTGCCTTTCATGCAGTGTGTAATGTAGCTGTATGTGAATGTAAACGATCTGCAAAGTTGTAAAGCTGAAAGTGCACAATAAATAAAGTTATTGTCTCCCAAAATAAAGAATCGACTCTGAACAGTTGAAACGAGTCGTTAGTAATTTGAATCCCACTTCCGTGACGGCTACACGTCGCGAGGTAACACATTTGCATAATGCTCTACATTGCTCTACATAATGTTCTACACTGGCCGGCCGCGAACAACTTGACCCCGCCCACAAACACGTCATTCTACTGACGACTGCTTCTCTAATCTCGGGGAGTTCAATGCGGGATTCACAAAACACTTGCTGTATCAGCATCCTGTTTATTTGGACCAGCTGCTCCACTGAATCACAACCTGTAAGTATGATAAATAATAGATGTTTATATTTTCTATAGAGCGTTCAAAATACAGAACTATTGAAATAGGCATATCGTTTCCGACACGCCCTGTACACCGTAGACCAATCACAACAGCCTAGGCCATCTGACCAATCAGAGCAGAGCAGGCTCACGAAAACGAGGGGTTTAGAGAGACTGAATCTTAGAACTGCTTCGAACGAATCGTTTGAGAATCGCTGGAAAATGAGGTGATATTAAATGCATATTCTGAGAAAATGAAAGCGTTTTTTGACCTTGCATGCATGTAATCCTATTGTAGGAGACTCCCAAAACAATATCAGGAACCGTAAAAATGGCATAATAGGGGCACTTTAAATTGTAATGCTTTTTCACAATATTGCTGTTATCACTGCAGTTTTGATCAAATAAATGCAGTCTTGGTGAGCAGAAAATACTTCTTTCCAGAAAAATAAATCTACCCAAACTCATGAATGGTAGTGTATCTGCTTGGTAACAAAGGCTGAAATATTGGTTTATAAAAAAAAATAATAATAATTACATCCAGAGATATATTTGAATATCATCAAAACACTAAAAATACTGAGATATAATTTGTCCAGTCAAAGCCCTAATACTCCAGCACAGCACATTATCTCAAGCAGCAGATGAGCATTAGAAGATTAGAACAGAGGCCAGGTAACGCTGGCAATGCACAATTGCATAGTTAATCTGCTAAAGGTATCGCAGCGGTTGGAGGGAGATGAAGAAACAGTTTATCAGCATCAAGCAGCACATGAACGAGCCACAGGGGGAGAAGCTCCACCCGGGGTGCCCTTGGAGCGAGAGCAGACCGGGTAGCTGGCAAATTGGGGTTAGGTCAGCGATGCACGGGTGCCCATTTCTGGTTAGATTATCAGAGGTCCAGCTCCCAAAGCTGAGCATACTGGAGGAACTATCAAAACCAAGTTTTTACAGCCAACTTTGTCTCCTTTCCCAAATATTATGATGCCATATGGGCTTCCTGTTCCTTGAAAATAGCACAGATTTAGCCAAAGCCGATATTATTTAAACTCAAAAATGATATGGGAACAGGCTGGAACGTCTCGGTTACGTATGGTAACCCTCGTTCCCTGAAGGAGGGAACGGAGACATCACGTCGTGACCGACGAATTGGGATATCGCTTCGATAGACCAATCTACTTCGAGTGTAAACTAAACGAGCCAATGCTCAACTGAATGCAAAGGCTCGATTTGGGCCCTGCTGTAGTGATTTTAGCACTAGAGACAGTTCCCAAGAGGGTATAGAGGGGGGCCGGGTAGGATTCAACCTCCTGGCCCCTCTAAGGAACCTGATGACGAGGTCATGCTTACCTACGGACTTCCCATTCACCGGGTCATGGTACGCAGCAATAGCAGCAACCTGGACTTTGAGGGTGGAGGGAGACAGCCTTCGCTCCAGCCCTTGCTGCAGAAAGGAAAGCACGACCGCAATCGGGCATCTCCGGGGGTCTTCTCGGCGAGAAGAACACCACTCGACGAACAGGTTCCACTTCAAGGCGTAAGCGTGTCTCGTAGACGGTGCTCTTGCCGAAGTGATAGTGTTCACTACCTCCTGCGGTAGGTCACCTAGAACCTCCGCGTCCCGTCCAGGTGACGGGTGCCAAACGGTGCCCCGTCTCTGAGTCAGTAGGTTCTTCCTCAGAGGAATCGGCCAAGGAGGGGCTCTCGAACCGCCCGCTGCTGCCGTCTGGCGAAGGAGGAGGATGACTGAGGTCCGGCGTTAGTCCGTCCGCAACTCTCCGTGCCCTCCCATCAGCGGCAGCTGGATGCAATAATTGCATGCCAATGTGCATTGGCTCGTTTAGTTTACACTCGAAGTAGATTGGTCTATCGAAGCGATATCCCAATTCGTCGGTCACGACGTGACTCGTAGTGACCGACTGAAAGGGAACATTCAGTGCTGACAATCTAGTGTCTTAAATTCCACACATTTTAGAAAGTTTGCCCACTCTGAAAAACAACCGAGGATTTGGATGTCTCGTTCCAAACAGGTTTGACAAGAGCAACAGTTATTTTTTTTTTTACTCAATCCAGTTCAGAAAGAAACAGCCTGCACATACACAATCTGGCAACATTTCAGCAAGCCCAGCATTCGACCATTCGAGAGTCCATTGATGACGGCTGTGCCTACTGATCGCAAACTTGACCAAGAGAGTCACACACTGAAATTGGCAGCCATTTTGAACGTGTTCCTCCGGTTTTGTGGCTCTCTGCGTCTCCATTTTCTCTCACTGTAAATGCAGTCAATTTCCAAACAGCTCCAGAGAACAGCATGAAATATCTCTCTCGATTAATTTAAGCCCCTGCGGTGCTTCCAAAAGCAGAAATTGCCATTTGAAAAATCACAGGGATAGAAGTGCACCATTATGCCATCTGCTTTAGGGACATTAATTACAATATCATTGATTAAATAAATTCCTAAATAATAGAATACTACGGTTAAAACAAGGAGGTTAAAATGACATATTTGGTGGGCTATGACAGTATAGTAGTAGCACCTTTTTGCAGCATGTACTTCAATTCTTTAACCGCTTTAAAAAAATGAACTCGCAAGCTAATTACCAAAATAATGAAGTAATTACTGCTTTTATAAAATAGCCACTCACTCAGCCGCTAACAGTGTAGAGCAACAGCTTTGAACAAAAGTTTGCATCTTATTTTTATTCCACAGCATTTTGACATTTTGTACTTTCTGCTGTTTTTGTTTTTTCTTAATTTCCTCACATAGCAGTAAGAGGTCAGAGACTTTCAAAGCCTTCCTACAAAACATTTCTGCATCATATGCACACTTGCAAAGCCTACTCAAAATGAGGTTTTGGTAACGCTTCCTATGAAGCCTGCATTTATAATGCATTATAAGGGAATTCTTTATGCATTATAATGCATACATAATGCCTTATAAACAATCTTATAATATGTTGTATCATCTCATGAATAATCTTAACAACAGTAATAATACTTGCTTATTTGTGGTAAAAAAAACAACAAAAAAAACATTCTATCTCATACAGTATAAGTAAACCAGTTATTCAGGAAAAAGGAATGCTTATTCAAATACAAATCTCCCCTTAAATATAATCTCTTGTAAACTGGTTGGAAGATGTTCCATAACAGGCCCCCACATCTCTTCAAACCTGGCACTGTCTCCCCTAACCACTGCAGTTAGTCTCTCCATAGGCAATATTCTGAAGATCTCTCGATACCAAAGGGAAAGTGATGGGGGTCTAGAGTGAATCCACTCAATAAGGATGCATTTTCTAGCGAGTAACAGGAGCTTATCACAGAGTACAAACCGGTTAGCGGTTAAAGCAATGTCTTTTGCTGGCAAGCCAAGTAAAAAAAAACCAGGGTCCTTGGTAAAGTTTATTTTTAAAATATTCCCCATCTTCCGTGCCACCCCCTCCCAAAACTTTGTGATGACTGGACAATGCCAAAAACAATGCATGAAAGTACCAATTTCACTCTGGCAT